CTAAGATCACTGAATAAATTGTATACATTAAATAATTTTATTTAAAACTAAAGCTCTTTTTACATATATTGTTATGACATATTTTGTATTGACATTATTTTGAAACAATACATTAGGATGTATATTATTTTACCAGCCATGCAATTCTTTAAATGTTGCATTCTTGTAACAAATAGTTTTGTACTCACACTCTTCTTACAAATAACACCTCAATTATATTTTATTATAGCAACTTTGTTTCCAAATAATATAATGTGCAAAGAGCTTTAGGTATCATTATATTTACCCATATTTGGTTGAGTTGAATCATATATTTGTATCAAGAGACAGGAGTACAAATTATTAAAATATTCCAATTTAGATATCTTTACTCTTGATAATATCGTTTGCATTGTTTTCACTAATTCTTCTTTCACATTTCTTCTGTAAAATTTAAAATATTTATTGCTTTTCATGCTGTCAATTCTGACTACAGTTACATTTTCAAATTTTATATATTACACAAATATTAACTATAGCCCATAGACTGACAAGTGACATTCTGTGACGTACAAGTGCTGTATCAAAGAGGTTAATGATGTTGTAATTTCTATTTGTTAAATAATATTTACCTCAACGATTCATTTGGCAAATGAGTAATTAGAGGAAATAAGATATATTCTAATAAATCTTGAATAACTTTATCGGAAATGCTTGTTGAAGCAATTGCAACATTGCGTGCGTTGTTTACATTTGGATTTTTCATCAAACGATCACAGAGTGGCTTTAAAACCGTAAATGCTTCTTGTATATGATAGCGTTCCATTTTTATTTAGTAACAAAAATAGAAAACACTAACAATTTTTCACGAACTCGGTTAATAGACCTGCATATTATACGTAAATAATGGTAGACAGAATTAAAAAGCACTTCTGTTTAATAATTCACACGTCGCGCCGACAAGTGGTGCTTTACAGTGCTTTACAATAGTACAGCAGGGATCAGCAATGTAAGATTGGAAGATTTCCTATCTCAGCGCCGTCGGCGGTAGAAAGACAAACTTCAGCTTGTCAGAACGCAACTCTATATGTAGATACATTGGTACATAGATTTATGTACACCACTTCAGCTTTAGCACTGCGCAGAGACCTTCCAGCAACCTGACTGTCCGTGGAATTTCCATTCAAGACACAGATAGAAATTTCCTTTATGATAGTCATATCCAGTTGCGTTCATTGCCTCAGCCGCAAATGTAATCGAAATAATTTTCGTCATGGAATAAAAATGCATTTATGTGCTATGTAATAACGGTTCCGAGGAAGAAAGTATCTAAATCAGCAATAAAAGGTCTAATGATACCTGCGAAAACTCTTTTAGTTCGAGCCCTGAGACGGCCTAAGTTTTCATTGGTGTGGACACTAACCATAGAGTAAAATAGTGAGGATAAAAATGCTTACTATGGTGCAGCAGAATTGCTCACTAATATGTGGCATGACTGTACAGTTTAATTATGTTTAGTATTTTTTTAGTATGTATGTACATAGCAAAAAGTACATACAGTACATACATACATAACAAGTTTTATCGGACAGTGTAAACAAGTGTTTCAATTTTTGTGTAAAGTTTCCTAACTTGTTGGAAGTACATATCGTTATTCACCGTTATTCTTTTGCAGCATCAGGCCATTAGATTACATACAAATAAACAAAAATGGCAGAAGTAAAATCACGTCGCGTCGCGCAAACAGAAGATTTATCAAATGTTGAGTTTGAAACCAGTGAAGATGTGGAGGTCATTCCCACATTTGATAATATGGGACTCAAAGATGAATTATTACGAGGAATCTATGCCTACGGTATTATAATAATTCTATATTTTTGTGTAGCCTGTACACATAACTTATTTGCCTAGTTTCCGTTTGATTACTTTAATTTACATGACGTCATTGATAATCACTATTAGTCTCATTTCGTTACTATAATTCTCATTTATTTGTAATTCCTATAGATATAATATTTTTATTACAGGTTTCGAGAAACCTTCTGCTATTCAGCAAAGATCTATCAAACCCATAATGAAAGGACGAGACGTAATTGCACAAGCCCAATCTGGTACAGGAAAGACAGCAACATTTTCGATTGCTATACTGCAGTCTTTAGNAGGACGAGACGTAATTGCACAAGCCCAATCTGGTACAGGAAAGACAGCAACATTTTCGATTGCTATACTGCAGTCTTTAGATACACAAGTTAGAGAAACACAAGTCTTGGTACTTTCTCCTACGAGAGAATTGGCAACTCAAATACAAAAGGTTATCCTGGCATTGGGCGATTTTATGAATGTACAGTGTCATGCATGTATTGGAGGTACCAATCTAGGAGAAGACATTAGAAAATTAGATTATGGACAACATGTCGTTTCCGGAACACCTGGCAGAGTATTTGGTAAATACATAACATAGTTAACAAAGCTGATGTTACAAACATAAAATAGATTTATGGATAATTCTATGTTATTTTCAGATATGATAAAAAGAAGAGTTCTCAGGACAAGGGCAATTAAGATGCTAGTCCTTGATGAATCAGATGAAATGTTAAACAAAGGTTTTAAGGAACAAATTTATGATGTATACAGATATTTGCCTCCTGCGACACAAGTAGTATTAGTATCTGCTACATTACCACATGAAATTCTTGAAATGACTAGTAAATTTATGACAGATCCAGTTCGTATTTTAGTTAAACGGTAAGATACAGCTTTATAGATTCAACTTTGAATAATTGTTTCGACAGTAATAATTCATGATTAATTGCAGCGATGAATTGACATTGGAAGGAATAAAGCAGTTCTTTGTTGCTGTAGAAAGGGAGGAATGGAAATTTGATACGTTATGTGATTTGTACGATACACTGACAATAACACAGGCTGTAATCTTTTGCAACACCAAGCGTAAAGTAGATTGGTTGACAGAAAAAATGAGAGAAGCTAATTTTACAGTGTGCTCAATGCATGGTGACATGCCTCAGAAAGAAAGGGACAACATTATGAAAGAGTTCAGATCTGGTCAAAGGTATGTTCATTAAACGTACATTACTGTA